CATTGATGAGGACGACATGCCTTTGTATAATTTAATTTACAAAATCCCAGGGTGAGAAAACATATTTTTCTGATGGAAGAGTGACCAAATAATGATGAATCCAGCGGATACAGATGAATGTGGATGCAGCTATAGTCGATATGATTAATGTAGTAGAACAGGGTGGCGAGAAGGACAACGACTTAATTGATTCCATTCCGCATGAGTCACAACAAGGGTCTTGCAGCGCTAGAGGTCACCATGGGGTACACAAAGCAATCTGAGGCGAGTGCAGTCAACAATGTGATGTTCAGAAAATGGCTTGATATTGTCACACATAAAAGAAACAAAGTACTTTAACAAAAAACAATTGACTATTACTTAAAGGTTAATTAACTTATCCTCAGTATTTTTTTATTTATGTTGAACTTCCGTCCAATATACGAATTTAGAATAATGCGGAAATAAAATTAAGTAAAATATGTCTTGTGAATATCACGATAACAATACATATCAATACAAATAGTGTACAAGACAACTTACTCATAATGCAAAATACATACAGGCAAATCAGTTAAAACAAAACCATTCTCCTGAACTTCAAATGTCACAACCTGACTCCTCTACTATCCTAGTCATTCCAATGATAGTTATTTGCAGTGTAGGTCACCATGGAAAAAGTATCTTTATTTCTCAAGCAATATACAATTTTACTGTTTCTTGATGAATTGCAGACACTCTAAAATTCAAATTTTTTAGTGATAATGGGCAATCAATTCTACAGTTTACTGACTTAAACACAAACAAGATATCATTGAAATTATGAAGAGACAAAATAGAGGGCATTTTAAGGTTATATAAGACTGTAATCATGATCAATGTAAAGGTTGCGAATGCCAAAACGTGTTGCAGCAATTCTGAAGAACTTGTGCTAGACAAATTCAGTTTTAGAAGAATGAATGTGTAAACACGGACCATGGATGCAAACATTAAAATAGGTTTAACAAGAATCGTTAAAATGTGTTTCCGTGTTGAGTTTAGCTCATGTTCTTGGGATGAAACCTAGGTGTTTTTTTTTTTTCTCCCTTTATTAAGTCGTGTAGTCAACATTTATTTATTATTAACAGGTAATTTGTCCATAATGTACTGCAAAATAAAGTACTGGAGTAAGAGTAATATACAAATATGTAACATCATTTCACAAATATAGAATGTAAGAAAATAATGTATATGAAAAATGTAATTATTAAAATAATATACAGGTACAATGACTCGGAATAACCAACTAAATGTAAACAACTCATTGTTCATACTTTCTGTAATACCTATATTTAAATTAATATTAGACCCAATTTCATTCGCCACTGTACATAATCTATTTAGTTTTTATTTATTATTAAATTCAATGCGAAACAAAAAGGGGAAGATATATTAAAAAAATGAAGCTTACATATGTACATTAAATTATAAAATAAATAAATAATTAAAATTAATATTAATAATGTAGATTAAATGATAGCTTAATCGAAAAAAGATCACATAAGGAAAATAATCGTAAGTTTAATTTTAAGAGTAGCAAAAACACAATTTTACAAAGTTACAAGACTACTATGTCTACTCTATTTTACAAAGTCTACTATGTCAGTGTTATAATGATTGATCAAGTTTTTTTTTATATTTAAAAAAGAACATAAACCTGAATAGATTGTTATACCCAAATATACACTCATGAAATATGGTTCATGCATGAATAAAAGGAGGTTAGTAAAGTTTTTGTCCAAATTGAGTACGCCAGAACATTGCTTTACTACGATACTATCATTGTGTAAATGGGTATAAGTGACTTTTCAATTTTGTCAATGGAGTTTGGCAAAATTGATGTCTTTTGTCTTTTTACCAATGCACCCCATACTTATCCCTTTTTACCCATGCACCTGTCGTATAACAATACATACATGAATAGAAGATAAACATTCAAACAAAAATTAGAATGCAGATTCCTTCAGTTTTTCCTTTTTCTTGTCTCTCTCCTCTTGTGTTGATTTCACAAACATTTTCTGGAATGCCCTATAATTTTTGTTATTGAATCTAGTGAATGATCACATGAAATCACTATTTTTATGAAACTAAAATACAATAAAAGTACACATTAATTATTAATTTTCTAGAAATATTATTTACATTTATAAATCTCTAATTAAAATAGAATCTTTAATGAATTAATTAAAAGCACAAAAAACGTAAGAAATGCAGACCCTTCAATATTCTACATTTATGGAGTGTTCATTTACATTTATTTGATGGCTTAATTCACATGCATATAATTTCTCACCTGCTTTTCAACATGATTGGCGCCAATTCTTAGACATTCTTTTTAGTAGTGATATTGGTACAGTGAAACTCTTGAAAAAACTATCCCTGACTTCTATCTGCAAGCATTGAACTGACACTTGGAAAAATTAACAGCTGGTTATCTGGGTAGAAGTAAAAAAACATTTCAGAGCAATGCTCAATTGTTTTAGATCCTGTATATATCTATGCGCTGTATCTCAATAGATAGATTTATTATTATTAAAGTTCGCTTTGAGCTAATGCTCAGTGGCAAACATGATAACAATTAAAATTACTAAACATTTTAAACATTTACAATTGGGTTTACTATTCGAATTAGGGGGTCGATATAATAGTTCCAATTTATTTCTAGCTAACTCTAAATTCACTTCTAGTTTAC